AAAGAATGTATTTTTACAAAAAATAATTCTTATTTCTTCATTTGAAAGTTCACCTTATTATGAATTTCATTTCTAAAATTTAATAATCCATATCTAGTGTAACATTTTGTTTAAAATACAAGCATCAAGTTATTTTTATTAGTTGCCATAGCATGTAATTTTATGGGATTAATTTGTAATTTAAAGTCTTAGAATTCAATTAGGACATTATAATATTTATAAATTTATTTCTTTTAGGAACTTAATTTCAGTAGATGCACTTTTATTTTATGTTTTAATAATATTTCCAGTTAGAAAAGCCTATATTCCATAAGAAAATATATAAACGTTTAGTTTTTGATTATTTCTTGCAGATAACATTGATTATTAAATTTTGATTACTCTGTATGATTCTTATTTGGAATACTTGGTGGTATGAAAATAATTTTAATAACAGTAGATTTAAATTTCCAGATCTATACTCAATCCTTTTATTATATTGATAAATATAAGTATAATCTTATTACAAATAGTTGCTAAATTTTTCATGTAACAAGGAATAGAATTTTTTAAAACAAAAATTGAATATTGTTGGAAAAATAAAATTGTTCCAAAATTATAGCTTAAAGTCTTATAAGTTTGAAGAGATAGATTCATTATTTCGATTTTATAAAGCTCATTCTCCATATTAGGCTACATATTTATTAAGTTATATCAATTCAAAAGTGAGAAGACAATGAGTTAACTGTTATCATTTATAAATAAAGCAAAGCCAAATACTATATTAAATTTCTCACATTTGTAAAATTTTATGATTAGATTTTCATAATCATCATTCCATTATACATATGGAATAAGGAGGTTGTTTATAAAGATGAATAAATGTATACCATATGTCTATTTAATTAGTTTGAAGATAAGAAAACAAAAAAAAATCTATTTTTTTTGAATTTTAAATTGTTTTGATATGTTTTTGAAGTCGTTATCAATCAATTACCTCTATTAGTTAGGGTCTCATCTGTATTATCCTTTTATAAAATTAATAATATCAAAACTCTAAAAGGTATTATTATATTTCCAAAACGAAACTCTTTTGGAAATTATTTGTAATGGTTTATTTTATTGGTAATTAATTGGTAATAAGCAATTATGGAGTATAATTAAAATTAATTACAATCCAAAATAAGTTAAAATAAAATATTAATAAATGATTAATCTTAATGATATAACTAATAAAAACAATGTTCATTCATAGAATTTCACTGAAGCCTAGTTTTATGTATCGCTTTTTTTAAAAGCATTATTAATTTTTCTACAATTCCTTTTTTTAACTTAAATTAAGTTATTTTTTCATCTATTATCAATTTAAAGACGAATGATATAGTTGCAAGAAAAATTTTAATTTTGGTTATGCTTTTTATTTGATTTCTACTAATTGAGATTTAAATTATTAGAATCTCATAATTTATTTTGTGCTTATTTCTAGATACATCTTCATATAGAAACCTTCTGAATCTTTAAACTAATTTATTTCTAAATTATAATTAACTCTTTAGATAAATATTATGATTATATAAAATGAACCAAAGGAAGTTTAGAGCAAAGATTTTCAACAAGTTTCTTTCAAAATTTTGCTCATGCACAGGCTAATTAATTTTTGATCGTCCTGAGTAAAATTTTATTTTTTATTAGCTAAGAATCGCCAGGAAATTCGTGTTGGGCGATATAAACAAACAATTGAGATTTTTTTAAAGAATTGTTTAGTTTTTACATACAAATAGAAATCAAATTAAATGATACTCTATTTAAAATATTTAGTCGATTTCATGGTATTAGAATTTGAATGAAAATATTAAAATGTACAGTTTATTAATCCAAATGCTTAAAACGTTATAACATCTTCTTGATATATAAAATAGTTTAAATTAACTAAATGATTAAATCTTAATGCTAATTGATAATCATGAACTTTTAATCTCTATTTAATAGTTGATTAGTTTTCTGTTTTCTTCATTCATAATGTTTTATTTTTTTTTAATTTTCCATATGTAGAATTAAATCCATCGAATTTTCTATTTTATTATTCTATAAAATCAATATTTGATTTTTCTTTAATATGCTGTAATTTTATATTCCTGCTGATTATTTTAAAATCATATAAAAAAATGAAATAAAAAATATTAAAAATAAATTACTTGAGTTTTCATCGATTTAGCATTTCATCTTCTAATTTTAATCTTTCTCTTAATCTTAAAATTTCATATCTATGTCCCTAATGATTCAATAAAGAGAACTATTTCGTTTTAACTTCATCTTTTATCTTTCATAATCCAAATCGGCTAATGAAATTTCCTTCTTAGGTATTTTTTATATAATGCAAATATTTGATAAACAAAAAGAAGTTCGTTTAATTATTTCATTAATCCTAAACTGATTTCTTCTCAGTACTGGTACTTAAAAGTATTGATATTTAGAATAAAAATTGAATTCCTTTAATTTGGAAAAACTAATTGACCAGCGAAAATCCTGTAATTCCAATCTCCAGATTTTTGATTTATACTCCTAAATTATACATTTAATAAAAATATATTCTCCTAAATAGTATTTTCATAATAATATTAAGAAGTATAAAAAGTAAGTTAATCAATTTTTAACTGTTTAAATCGAGTTCTCTAATTAATTGATGTGAATTTTGATAAATATTAATGAATAATGATATATATTTTTATGTGATAATTATCATTCTTCTGTGTATTTTCTAATTTATATTTCTTTTGATGATTCATCCCATGTTATGAAATAGTCTCCATCATCACTTAATGATCCAAATATTAAATTTGTATTAAATTCTATTGATTATTCAAGTTTAAATTCTCCATTTTCTCTCTTTCTTATAAAATTAACATATTCATTATGTCGATTCACTAATAATTATTTTTATTTAATATATTATTATGGAAATAATATATTATAATCATTACCTTAATTAACAATAATATCTTTGGTTTTAGTGAATTATTTACTTACACTATTCTTCTCATAAACATACATTAAATTGCCATTATAAGGTTTAAATGTAAATAGATTATCATCAATAAAGCATAATCTAATTCCATAGCAATCAACATTAATTTTTTAAATCACAATCCAATTTCTATTTAATTCTGAATATTCAATTATTAATATTAAGTTATCTACTCCACAAGAAATAACTTAATTTTATTATTCATTTAAACTTAATGAATAAACCTCTGATTGATGATCTGTGATTGTTTATAAACAGATCCATTAATTTTTCTTAATCCAAAACTTAATAGTCTTATCATCACTGCCAGATATAAACAGATCTTCATTATTATTGATAATTAAACAATTAATACGATTATTATGTTCTTGAATAGTTTATGAACAAACCCATTAATTGTTGTTATTAATTGACCAAATTATAATATTTTATCGTAACCTCCAGATATCAAATAATTGGATTTTTTCATAAAATTTAATGTAAGTACAGAACCTTTATGTTGATCTAATACTTGAATTTATTATTAGATTCTTTATTTAAATTAATATATAATTATTTATTTTTAACATCCAACTGCAACAAATGAGCAATCTTTATTAAAAGCAAAACAACAACAACATTCCTATTTTTTAATTGAATTATTTTAAATAATTTAATAAGTAAATGGTTTTTAATTGATTTAAGATTAAGAGACAATATTTTAGTTTAAATTTTATGATTATGAGTTTATTATTGATTATTATTGTTGTTAATGTAATTTTGATTTAATTTATAATTAATGCTTGATTTTTTAATTGATTAATGGAGTTACTTCTTTAATCATATTTTATTAAAAATCAGATTAACCAATTAAATTGAATTTATTTACTTTTGGTAAGGATAATTCTGATTTAACATTGTTAATTATTTTTATTGGATTATCTATAGTGAATATTTAATCAATGAAATTATCAATCTCATTAAATGATGACTACAACTAATAATAAACAAATACATTTATATTTTACTCAATTTCTTTCATTTCACTTTCTAATTTTCTTTTTAAAACTTATTAAAATGACATTTTCTAATTCTATTAAAATTATTAAATAAAACATATTAAAATTTGAGGTATTTGAAACCAAAATAATAATAAAAAATATAATAGGGATTTAAAATTAAAATTTTTGAAGTTTGCAAAAATATTACAATTTCTATTAGAAAGGAAATATTCAAGTCTAAGGAAATCATTTTCAATATCTATTTTTTTGAAGATGGATGCATGTGAAGAAATTTTGAAAATGGAAAAATAAAAATGCACTCAAAAGAGAATAATGAAAAGTTTTCCTTATCTTTAGTGATTTAGCTTTTTTTGATTCAGAAAAAATCTTGTAGAAACTAAATCCTCTTTTTATGTTCACTAATCAGATAATGAAATAAATTAGTAATATATAAAAATCAAATAATTTTGTCTAGTGTATTTTATAGTCTTATATATTTGATGAAAGTTAGGTTTTATATAAGAAAAAACATTACTTTAGATTAATACAAAGAGTGAAAGAATATGTTTGAGTTCTTATAAAATATATTTAATTAACTTATTTCAAACTAATCTTTATTGATATTGATTCTAAGACTGCTATTAAAAGGTAGAAGGAGAGATAAATATAGTAAATTGATTATAAGTTCAAGATCTATAAGATAATAAGAAAGTGTGTGTGTGTTGAGGAATGAATGTTCAATAATTAATAATTAAGATTAGTAAAGTTCTTACAAATATACAGATTGAATAATTTAAATTATTCGTATATTCCTTTTGTTAAATGCAATTACATAAATTTAGTAGATCAAAAGTAAAATTTAATATTCTTTATTTTAGTCTTGCATTCATATCGATATATGGATGATTCCTCAAAATTTAAGTCTTCTTAATATAAAACTCATTTCGAAAGGTGATTGTATTGTTTAATTCTTTAAATCTCCATTCTGACTATTGAAAATGTTGATTGAAGAATCTAATTATGATAATTCATTTCATGACAATTTTGTTTATGAGAAATCGAAAAATTAGATCATATTCAATTGATATGCATAATCCTTAAATACACCTAAAGTATGTTTCACTAATAAAAGTTGCTGAAATAGAGTTAAGCAGTTTATATAAATCTATAAGTATAGCATTATTATTGAAATAAGGAATCAATTTATTTAAGGGAAGGCCATATATTACAACTTGATTATCAATTAAGTTTTATATTAATCCAATTCATTATAGAATTTTTTATTTTCAAACTAAAATCAATTCACAATAATTAGATCTTGAATTAAATTAATATTTAACTTGTTTTTTTAAATGAGAATAATCAGTCTCTCAAGCAAATATGATATCATTAACTGTAAATTTTGGAAGCTTATACTAATTTATATTTCTATCTTAATGGAGTGCATTTAGTAACTGAAATAAAATCAGTGATAATAATGAACAATTAACCTGTATATTTACTAAATGCATAAACAGAAATCTAAGCCTAATGACTTCTATAAATCGAAGATGAAAAATCATAATGATAAGCAACTAAGAAGGTTTTATAAGAAATTAAATATCAAACTTTGAGTGGCAAATTATCATAATATTAGGTTAAATCTCTAACTTCAAATCTATTAAAGTTTTTTGGAGTATAAATTTCTAATTTTTTAAATTAAAACATGATTTTCACATTCTTAATTAAATTAACATCAACTACCTAATTGTACAAATCATTATATTATTTTCATTATTTTTATCAGATCTTCCATTACTTCTTTTTGGTTTTAAATATAGGCGATCTCAAAAGATCAAATAATTTCCATTTAGAGATAGAGTTCTATAATTATTTTTATCCTATCAAGGTAATTTTGCAAAGATTATAAATTTTTCTTCAACAGTACATCTCTATATTATTAGATTGATAATGAGACATGGTGAAATTAAGAGACCACTCTAAATGAACTTTCTTAACTTTATTTTGCATGATTCTTTAGATTCATAGACCCAAATCAATTAGTCTTAATTTAGAAAAAAATTTTTTCTACTAAAATCTTAGATTGATTGAGGATATTTTTTGGGATTGAAATAAAAAAAAATAAGTAATCAAATCTAATAATCTAATTTAATTATCAACTATATAACTAGCTTTTTTTTGAAATAATTGTCTATTAATAATAAAGTTTCTGATTAATTTAAATATACAGAGTACAAACAAACTTTGTTTTTTTCTAATTTTTATTATATTTATAATCCTATTTTGTTTGAATCAAATTTCCATATTTTCATTGATTTATCTTTGCTTAAGTAATTTAAAATAATACAATAAATTTTGGCACTGTGCCTTTTGGGTATGGATTAGGATAATAATTAATCATGTTCATTCATACTTCAGTATCTTAAAGTTCTGAACAATGAATTATTTGATTGTTTTTTATAAAATTTATTATTCATTTAGTATTTTAAACAACAAAAGATGTTTATAGCAATGGCAAACCTGATTTAAAAATATAATCTTTTTAAATATTACATTTTGAGTTATAATCTAATTGGAAAAAAAGATAATAAATCCATTAATATTATTCTCATCAACACATTATACACTTCTGCAATAATGCTATCTCTTTATTTATTAATACATGATTTTAATTATGAATCTAAATAAAAACTTAATACATT